CTAATCTTTATTCAAACTCATAGTTTTTTCTAATTCATAGTTTTTTTCTAATCTTTATTCAACTTATTTTTTACTACAAAATTATTTTTAAATCAAAATCACGAGAAAAACTAAATCCTTGAAGTCTAGCACTTCTTGGATTTTTGGATGATTATTATTGAGGCGTACGCCTTATATAATGTTTCGTTCGACTTTTCTTTTTTAGCACACTCTTTTGGACAAAGAAATATCATAGGAATCTAGCATTCCGTGTGATATTTCCGTTCGTTCAAACATTTTCCGAATGAAAAAGGTGTTGTTAGGATCTAACATCCAAATGATACCCCGATTAATTGATTGTGAGGGCGACGTCTCATTTACCAAATAATCGTCATTCCGCCTATACTTTTCAAATCCAATCTCGTATTCTCACCTCTTACAAACAATCTATCTTCATACCTTCATTTCAATCCAAATTATTTTCAAAACATTTTCTCATTTAAAACTCCAAAAGAAGGAGGTTCTTGGAATTTAGCATTCCTTAGATCTTCGAGTGAATAGTTCTCGAGGCACGCTCTTGAGTTATTGTTCATTCAATCTTTCGACTTTTTTTTTTAAAAACATTTTCTCGATTAAAACTCCGAAAGAAGGAGGTTCTTGGAATCTAGCGTTCCTTGGATCTTCAAGTGAATAATTCTTGAGGCACGCTCTTGAGTTATTATTCACTCAATATTTCAATTTTTTTAAACATTTTCAAACATTCTCTTCTAAGTCGAGTGCTCGGCCGCATTCGCAACCGTCGACATTTCACACACACTTCACAATTCTTTGTGGTTTCGATATTAGGGGCACCCTTAGGGACTAATATCGTTTCTTACATTCTTAACCCTTGACACGTCGTCAAGTCGGTTCTATCTTCTAAACAAATCCTCGACTCGTCGTTGAACCATTTTCAAATCAACCTCCTTTTGCCTCACATTCCATTTTCGATTCAATCTTTTTACAAACGTTTTTTCTTAAACCTACGAAAGAGGGATAATTCTTAGAATCTAGCATTCTTTGAATATTTGAATGAGTAACTCTCGAGGCGTGCCCTTGAGTTGTTATTAGTTCATTCTTTCGATTTCAAAATTTCCAACCTATTCAACCTCATCTTTTCGTGGTTGTACCACGAACTACGGACGCTCTGATTCTTTATTCATTCTTGAATATAAGATACGTAGGCACAAGATTGCGATAATCTTGGCAAGCACAATCCCATCCATCTTCCGTTTCCCAACCTTTCCCGTAGTCGAACTACGACACTCTGATTTCTCATTCTTGTCCGAATGAGTATACGTAGGCATAAGGGCCCCAATCCTTGGCGAGCACCATATTCACTAACCACCCATTTCTCCTTTGCGTCTTTAAACCTTTTACCTTACCAATTCTACCTTTATCATCGAGAAGAAAAACAAGTAAACCTAGACAACACTCTCCACAAAATACCCTAAGAGGTTCCCATTGAGTACAACGGACGAGAGGGGTGCTAATACCTTCCCCTCGCGTAACCGACTCCCGAATCCGGAACTTGGTTGTGACAACCCTATTCCTATCCTTTTGTTTTAAGAGGTTTTCTCGATATTTTCCTCTCCCGTTTATTCGGGATAAATAAAGTTCGGTGGCGACTCTGTCGAACCGCATTTTCGCGCCTTTCGCGCGAGGGTCGTTTCTCCAAAATGTCTCCGTGATTTTTTCGAGGTACGACAGTTGGTACCCTTGATTTGGTTGATAATGTTGTTGTTGTTGGTTTTGAGGATGTTGCTGATACGGTTGTTGTTGTTGTTGCCTCGGTTGGTAGTCTTGTTGATTCGCCATATAATTTACCTCTTCAAACCCGGGAGGTGGACAAAATCCGGTATCATGTTCACCCTTGCAAAGCTCACAACAAGCTATTTGTTTAGATTTTGAAGGCTCTTTCATCTCTTTGATTTGTTGAGTTAAGAGTTCAACTTGTTGTGAAATGAGTTTATTTTGGGCAAGAATAGCATCATTTGTCCCAAGTTCAAGCACTCCCGGTTTCTTCAAAGTGTTACCTCTACTTTGACTTTGGAGGTCATTTAGAGCCATACGGTTAATGATATCAGTCGCTTCATCGGTGCTTTTAGACAACAAAGAACCACCCGCAGTGGCATCCAATAAAGTCTTACAATTTGGTTGAAGGCCGTTTTTGAAAATGTGGATTTGCGTTAATTCATCAAAACCATGACCTTTGCACTTTCGAAGCATGGATTTAAATCTTTCCCATGCCTCGTTCAATGATTCGTTGGCTCCTTGAGAAAACACGGAAATAGCCGTTTTGGATTCCATGAACCAGTTGTGGGAGAAAAATGTTTCAATGAACTTATCTTCCAACACGTTCTAATCCGTCATGACTGCAGGTGTTTGATCCAAGTACCAATCTTTGGCTTTGCCGAGCAAAGCATGAGGAAAAAGTCTTTTGAACAACGCTAGCTCTTCAGCTTGATCAACTCCGGCCGCCAATGCTATCTCGTAAAATTTGGTGAGAAAAGCAAATGGGTCTTCATGGTCCATTCCGGTGAATGGACTTCCGTATAGAAAATTAAGAGTTCTCGACTTGCCTTCCCGTGTGGTTGGCAAACTGAGCAGTATTTCTCGGACTGTTGACACATGGTGTGGAAACGGATGGTGGTGGAGCCATGATAGGTATGAAAGGTGGTGGTGGTGGTGTAGAAGAACCTTCTCCTTGTTCTTGTCGTTGTCTAGCTTGTTGTCTCCTCCGTCTTATTTTGTTATTCAGTCTCATTGCGGTTCTTTCGATCTCGGGATCAAAAAGAATTTGGTCCTCAGGAATCTGCCCTCGCATAAAACGAAAGCTGCACACTAAACCAAACAAATTAACAAGCACAGGTCAAAAATTCAAGAGTTAAAAATTCGACAACTATTGTGATGCTCGCAATATCAATTTAAATTCTCCGGCAACGACGCCATTTTGTTAGAACAGTGATAGAGTATCGCGATTTGTTATCGTCTCCACAGGGAATCTGTGATATTGTCGTCGTTCGACAGTTGTTAAGTTCTTAACTTATAGTAATAAGGGGGTCTTGGTTTTTCGTTACGGTAGCTTGCATAGGAAAAGTAATAAATGCGGCAAAAGTTTAGGTTTTACGATTTGAGAAAGATTGTCAAAGTTAGGTCGACGATCACTTTGCATGAATATGTTCGATCAACAAAACTAGTAAACTCTGTTGGATGATAATCACATTCACAATATCCTCTCAATGTGTTTATTTCTAATACACATTGTGATTTTTCCCATTTTGATCCATTGTTGATTTCTCACGCAATCTATCAAAATGACAACTTTTAGGGTTTGATATTTTAGTGAACAATCTCATTCAATACTATCTCTAACTCAAGAACATAGATGGATGAAAACCTAGGTAAAGAGTTGAAAAATATATTTCAATCATAAACCAACACAAAGAGTTAACAATAAAACAAAGTTTTCATCATCAAAGAGTTTACAAATGAAGATCATCCCATTTACATACAAAGCTTATGATCATCTACATCTAACCTTGACAAAATGAAGGACTTAGCTACTCATTTTCATGGTAGCTTGAACAAGAAGAAAATGGAGAAGATTAAAGAACATCCACATCGAAAGATCGAAGAAAGATGTGATTTCACTTCTCTTGATTACACAATGAGCAAAAGCAAGAAATATTGTTTTTGGAGTTGTAGAACTAGTTTCCAATGTTACCAAAAAAATACTTCTTAAGAACTCAAGTTATAATCCCAATAAAGCAATATATAAAGTACAAAAGAAGCTCTGTTTGCGCCCATTCGTCAGGCGAACAGAGGCCTTCGCCAGACGAACAAAAAGAAACAAGGCACTTTAAAGTGCCTCCAGCAAGCAAACTGCCCTCTGAGATATCGCGCCTTCGCCAGGCGAAGCAATCATTCGCTAGGCGAACATTCGCTGGCTTCACCTGCCAGGCGAATTTCATGCAGGTTTGCTACTGGAATAGCCAAGAGATCTTCGCCAGCTCCTTCGCCAGGCGAATGGTAGCGAACCTTCGCTGGAACCATTGCCAGGCGAACTTCATGCCCTTTTAGTCTGGAATTTTAATTAGAATTACTCGCTCTGCCTCGCCAGCACTCGCCAGGCGAACATTCGCTGGCACTCGCTGAGCTTCGCCAGGCAAATACTCTGATTTCCAGTTTCTTCTAGCAGTTATGTCTCATCTCTTCCAAGGTGCTCCTACTAGTGTCAATCCTGCACACTAACAGCAACATTACAAGCACCATTCACTTAGACCAAAACAAAATGAAACTAAGCAAATCTAACTACTAATTCATACACTACTAGATAAAAACAAGTAAAAATACTACTAATTAGAGATCAAATATATACTATAATTGAGATCTAACAGTCGTCTACCATCCTGCTCATGTTTATTGAACTCGGGACAACTCCTTACCATTTTTTAGCAAAATAGATGTCACCCACTTATAATATTAATGTGCAAGTTGTATTTGTCCAAAAGACATTTTCAAATTTTCAAAGGATAACTTCACCACCACTTCGGGTGAGATTGATAGGTTATGAAAATCAATTGAGCAAGTGAATATACAACATGTGAAGATGTTTATGCTTATTTTCTAGAATTTGCTCTTTTGTTTGCTTATTTCATAATGTTACCAAATTTCATAATGTTAACAAATTTCTTAATTCAATTGAAGTATTTTTTTAAACACCTAAAAATTCATACTAAATATATACATGTAGTCGAATGCTGACGAACATCATATGATTATAATTAAGTGACAAAGCTCTTTACGCATAATAAAACCTTTATATCACCCCACTCACACATATACATTTAAGCTCAACCATGCTAAAACCAGAAAATCTACCCCCAAGCTACCCTTAAATATAACAAACCAAATACTATGAATACAAACAGAAAACCCCACGACACATCAACCTCTACCATAGTTAGACTATTGTATAATCAGTAGACTACTTGCTGACCTATGTTGCGGCCGCCGCCAACAACGCGATTGTTTACAGTTTTGTCAAACCTCAGAGATGATAGCAAAGTATCACGGCTAGTCAAAACTGCTTGGAAGAAACCATCCACTCCCTTTGCAAGAAGATCCATTCCTTGGGAAAGCTTCTCTGCAGCCGCACCTAGTTCCTCAACAGTCTTCAGATGTGATTCTTGCTTAACTTTGCCTTCAATATTTACACCGCCTTGTATGGATGGATATAATTCCTGCACAACAGTATCAACCGCTTCCAACTCGTTTAATACAGAAAATTTCCCACTGGAAAACCTAACTCTAATTTCATCATTTACAAGATTCTGTAAGCTTTTGAAAGCTGGAGCCCATGAATGCATGTCGGGCACATCCAAGTCTAACAACTTCTTTGAAGTGCCAGAGAATGCAGCCGAAAACACGCTGCAAACAAATACAGTTTCCACCTTGATGCCGTACATAGCTTGCATCAAAACCTTACCTTTGGCAGAATTTTTAACCTTAGGAAGATCAAGTGATCCCACGAGACCATCTAAAATGGTGCTACATTTCTCAATTCTAGGGTTCTTAGCATTAATGTGGCGCCTCCAATCATCGAGCAAAGAACAGGCCCGAGAAAACGACTTTGATGAGGCTGGTTCTAAAATGTGCAGGGCACACTTAAGCGGGAGATTGCCTTGATTCAGACGTGAAAGCTCGGAACTAAATGCGTTGCAAATGTCTAGTAATTTTGTACTTATGTCAAAGTAGACATCAACCCATTTGTCATCCCAAACACTCACGGGCAGTTCAAGATCTATTATAAGACTCCGTATGTCATTATGGGATTCACAAAGTGAATTCATAGCCGAAGTCATCCAAGACAAGCTGAGGATTTCATCCTTGCTTTTCGGCATAAGCTTCCTTAGCCTCTCTGCTAATGTTGCCTCGAAACCTTGTAGTACTGCATCTAACTGAGAAGATGTTAGAGAACCTTTATGTGACCCTTTATGTGACTTCATCCGGAAAGGATTTCCAAACAGGGAGAAAGATCGGGACGAATGCAGATCCGGTGAACGACTCATTTGCTGCATCAGCAAAATTCAAAGGTAAGATATCTTATAATTGCAAAATTCAGGAAAACCCACATATTATAGTAAATCATGACAAAATGCAGTTTCCAGTGAAATCTGAGAGCAACAAACTTAAGTTATAACTACAAATTGACATATCAAAAACAAACTCATAAAATAGTTCTTTAACCCAGTTTCAATAAAATCCAAATAAACAAAAAAACCTACCCAAACCAAATTGATAGTTGTACATGCTAATTTCCATTTCCAAACAAAAATCCAATCTAAGATTATTTTCTATGAAGCACGAACACCTAAAACAACACCCAGACACAGACACGTCTAACACCGCTTATAATTTGAAAACTACAACATCATCAACAACAACATCATCAACAACAACATCATCATCAACAACATCATCAACAGCATCATCATCAACAACAACAACAACAACAGATCCATGAAAAAAATAACCGTTGACCTTCAATTTTACCATACTCATATTCAGATCTAAAACAAAAACTTCAAATCTTTAAACAACAACACCCAAATTCAATCATAGAATCACAAAATCAAAATAAACAAAAAAATATATAAAAAAATTACTCAACAAACCAAACAATAAATTAAAAAAAAAAATCAAATCATCTTCTATCTTATGAAATATTATGAAATACAGTTAGATCGTCGAGTAATAAACCGATTAAACCGAACATAATCAACAATAATCAAATTAATTCACAAGAAAAATAAAGTTAAATAATTTCTATATTTTCCATTTAGAAAAAAACAAAGAGTTTCTTTATTTGCAGAAAACATATAATCAAAGAGTAGAAGATTTTCACCTGAGATCAGAGAATCGAAAGAGAAAACGGAAAAGTTTGGGAGAGATTCGGTAGGCAAAGAAGTTTTCGTCTCTATGAAGCGTTTAGATTATGTGGTGGGTGAAGTTCTTGGTTTGTTGTAGATAGATAGGAAAGGTTGTTTTGATAAATCTACCTTGGTTGTTGGATATTTAGGTTACATGAGGACACGTGGAGATATATAATTTGGCTGTTATGAAATTATGTACTCGTTTTTGATATGACGCCGGCATCCGAGAAACTTCGTTTTTCCTGTTTTTTTTTTCTTTTTCAACGACTTGTTATTTTACGCGGACCATTGATTAATTGTATAAAAATTTAATTTTTCTTTTGGGAAATAAAGTGGCCGTTCAAGGCTAAAAAACTAAAATTGTAAGGGAATTGCTTTTTTTTTTCCATTGCGACTCCAATGACTTTTAGTGTTCCGAGATATATTATTGAGCGTAATATTTTTCATATATATTTTAATGAAATTGTTGATAAATCTTTGTTTTGTTTAAATTTAGTTTAAAAATTGCATCTTCGTAAAGATTGATTTAAAGATGCATCTTCTTAATTCATTAGTCAATGAGTTTTCTACATCTACAGAATATGTTCTGTTAGTTCAAAACAAAAAATGCATAGTGGAAAATCAACATAAATTAACATCGAAATAAACATTACATAGATAAATATTATATAAGTTTAATATTACATGTCATTAAAAACAGGTGGTTCAGAACGTTGCAGCATCCTTATAATATTTTCTGATCTTTGAATTGTCGCATCCAGTTCAATCGGACATTTTTATTGAGTAAAGGTAAAAGGTACTTCATATAATCTTCAAATCATCATTCATCTTCAATTCAAACATTGTGAACTAGTTCTTCACTCCGTTGTCAATGGAGGGTGAACGGTACTCGAGCTTGACAACTCTTTAATTTTTTTGATATTGTAGTAGCGTATTCAATTTGAATTTTTAGATCAATGAGAAGTATAACCTCGGAGACCCTAAACTGAAGTGGTGGATTTATGCCATTGAAATACACAAATACATATCCAGAATGAAAAGAAGTACCTCAGATTTGTTTATATGTCCTCTAGAATAAAAATATATCTTTCTGATGCTTAATTTATATTGTTCCACTTCGGAGATATGAAGCTTCTGACAAGTAAAGTTCTCATGTATCTGAAGTATCCATGGTCAAATACTCTATTAAGTTTATTTTTGACTGATGAAAACTGAAGAGTTTACTTAATTAACACGTTGTCAAGAATATGAAAGGTTATGATTCATTTTTAAATCAGCTATCTTTTAATGAACGCTGCTTCACACTAAACGTGACATATTGGGTGACGAGACTCTTGATCTTAGGTTGTTAAATCATAATTTTTTCTCTTGTCAAAATTATTTTCCTTTACTATTATCTTTTCTTATCTTTGACTATTTCTGATACCTTTTTAAGCATTCGTTTGTTTATTTCTTTATTGAAATTATGAAAGCGTTTAATACAACCTTTACTTTTTACTTCAATTCTATTTCATGCGTTTATACTTCCTATGTGATGCTCTCTTTGGAAATGATGGTTGTCCCTTTTCTTGGTTAAACATTTATTGCTTTGCGTGTTTCAAATTTGTATGTATTAATTGTTTTGTCTTTATTGCCTCGTTTCGTCCCATCATTTGCATTATTTATATTCCTCAGTTCATCCTTTTACGTCATTCCTCCTCTCCATCCTTGCAAACTTTCTCTTCTTTTCTATCCTTCTCCTTCGCTTTCATCTTACCATGGTTGTCAAAACCTTTTGTGGCAATGAAGACCTTCTGGAGGTTATCTATGAAAAACAACCTTTATTTCTTCGTCTTCAAGGAACTGATCGCGATATCATCCTTAGCATACACATACAGGATTGGCCCGAGTACTATGCTTTGTTGCATGGACCCATTTATCCCAACATGGTGAAGGATTTCTGGACACGTGCCTTAGTAAATGTGGATGGTGACTTCATTTATTCCTCTGTTTACGACACTCATGTCACTATCACTCCTACTTCCATCTCTAAAGCTATTGGATATACTTAAATTGGTATCATTGTGGATAAGTTTCGCTTTACCTACACCTTTATTGATAAGCTCAATAGCATTCATGACACCTCCTTCACCAGATTTGAACCAGAAAATCCTTAAAAACTTCTCCCATCAGCTAAAGCATGGTTTAACCTTCTCCTTACCAATTTCCGTCCTTGGAGAATAGACAAAAATGTTGTATCCCATGCTGACAGACTTTTCATCTACTTTGTTACGAAATAATGTGTGTGTCAATCTGCCTCAAACCATTTTCAATCATTTAAAAGAATTAGTCACTTTCTCAAGAGGTCAATATAAGCCCTTCATACTTTATGGAATGATTCTATATGAACTTTCTTATAGGGCTAATATCATTATCTTGGCTAAGAGGGATGGACCGAATGTTGTGGATATGGATGTAAGGTGTGAGGCGGTGACAAGTTTGCTGGATTGGTAGTCATGTCTGCTGGATGGTGATGTGGTGTTTTGGGTCCTGAGGGTTATGTTTATGTTGGATGGTTTGGTTGTCTGGTTTTTACGATGTTCATTTTCTTATGGTCTTGTTATCTGGATTTGGTTGTATTATTGTTGTCTTTTGCTCTTTTAGTTTAAAAAATTCTGGCATGTACTCCTCCTATTATGTTAATGAAATCCTCTTTTTATTTTCTGTGTTTTAATATTCATATTTTTATTATCTCCTTATTTTCACTCTTGCTTATTTTTTTTAAATTTATTATTTTGAGTTTCCCTCAGTTAAACTAACCTCACATTTGTTAGAAGTATTTTTCAGGAGTGTTTTATCGTATCCAAAAGGATTGATGAGAATATTTGATGCTTGTCGTTCAATGGTTTAATGATTTAAGAAGGGGGTTTTAAATTGGTTTCTATTTTGTAACAAGAGTTTGTAAGAAATAAAACAAAGTAAAATTTGGTTTTAGTTTGATAAAAAGCATGTCAAGATTAGGGTTCACTAATCCGTCTTAAACGTATTCAACCAATCAAATATGTTAACTTAGTTTTAACCAACATAATCGTGTATCCTCGCAAAAACGTTCATCTCTAAAGTGATTTCGTGAATGTTATTGTTTCGACCGTTAAATGATCTCTCTAAATAACACTCGAAACAATAATCATTAAGATCAATACAATGCAAATATCAACTTCCAAATCTATGTCTAGAGTTTATATAGTTGATAGATGAAGAAATTAGGTTAAGACTTGAAATTTTCTTGTCTAAAGCAATCCAAACCATAGATATAACAAAAGATAGCAAATAACTTCATCAATATTGAACAAAGCCTTGTTTATATACAAAAGATTAAGAAGAATACATAAAATTAGAACTAGCTACCTCTAACCATGACAAAAGAGGGGTTTTAGCCATCCATTTCCATGATAGCTTGAGCAACAAGTTTCGGGAGAAGGTTTATCAACATCCGAGTCGAATAATCGAGATTGGATGAGAATCCACCTTCTTTTTGTGAAAGATGGCTAAGAGATGATGAAAATGGAGAAACTAGGGTTTTTATGCTGAAAAATCTCAAACTAAGAAAGATACAAGAAAAAAGATATTTTGGCAAAAAGTGGCACAGACTACTTATAGACATGTTGTTGAGCTGTCAAATTCGCAGTGCGGATAATTTGTTCGTCTAGCGAACAATAAAAAAATGGCAACTGAAGTGCCAGTGTAGAGTGAACACACTCCTGAGCTATTTCCACATGTTCGTTGTGCGAAGAATCCTTCGCAATGCGAAGGTTTCACTGCAAACTTCGGACAACAAATTCTTGTCCAAATACTTACTGCCTCAGGTTTGGGGGTGTTTGCTAGATACTCACTTCTTCTTTGCTCCAGCGAATTCTTCGCTACTTCCTCCGCGCAACGAATTTAGGCTCCTTTTCTTTTTGTATGAACAGTACCATGCTCTCAAAGGCCTTCACTGGCAAGTTTGTTGTGCGAACTTGTTGATGTTTTTCTGGGTAGATTCGCTGGCAAGTTCGTTGTTTGAACTTGTTGATGTTTTTCTTGGTCATTCAGAAAATATTCAAGTTGTGAACTTTCCAATGACATTTTTATTTCTACACCTTTTGGTGATATGATTA